CTACCACTGAAACAGCAGATGAAACAACTACTGAAGCAACTACTTCAGTGAATGAGGAAACCACTGAGTCAGCAGATGATAAAACCTCTGAAGCTGCCGTCAGTGTAACTGGAGATGCCTCAACTGCACCTGCAGATGCCACAACCTCCATAACTAGCTCTACATCTCCTATCTCTACAACTGCCACTTCAGTAGCTGTCACCACAAATGCAAACTCAACTACAAACACTTCTGCTCCTAGTAGTACCACACTTTCCCCACCTGTTACTGCAACAGCCAATCCACCTACAACTGGCAGTAGCACTACAGCGTGAAAGCAATAGAAATGCACATCTCAAGCATCTTCATAAACAGGTAAAGTATTGTAGGTAAATAATTCTTGCTGTTATTGATTGGTGGTGTTGTGTGCCATCTAGTCTGAAATGACTCATAAATTACTTTTTAGCAGAGTTTCTAAGGCCTTCCATGGAGGAGCTGGTGGATCATAGCCACTTGCCTTTGGGCTCATGTACAACTCCTTGTTCACTTGAGAAAATTCAGTGGTGTTCCATATACCCTCAAACTCCTGGCCACTATGATTAGTTACTCTTGATCAGCCAAAATTTTGGTTCTGACAAATCTATACAAGATCAGGTACTATAACAGTTTGCATATAAAGAAATAAAAGCCTAGAGGTACAAAACCTGTCTAAATTGTGAGCAAATAGTACAAAGACAGAGCTAGAATATAAATGCCTTCATGATTAATGCAATCGTTAGAAAGCTTAAGATTCTAAAACAGTGGGCACAGACAATGTTTAGTAGACTGGTAAATGACAATCATTTTGCCTCTTTTTCAAAATAAAAACTATTGAGCTCTATGACTTTTGACTGCTAAAAGAAAGAGGTAAGGACAGTAAAACTTCATCTCACATTCTGGGCATGTTGTTAGGATCAGTTCATGGAAAAGGCATCTATGTGAGAAAGATGGAGGGTCAGAGAAAGAGAGGAAGACCTTCAACAAGCTGGAATGATACAGTGACTATAATAATGGGCTTGAGCACATCAGAGTTAATGAGGTTAGAATAGTACAGGGCAACAAGATAAAGGTAAATAATCCAATAGAAAAATGAGCACAGGATATGAACAGACACTTCACCAAAGAAGATACTAAGATGGCCATCAAACACATGAAGAAATGTCCAAAATCCCTAGGTCTAAGAGAGGTACAAATCTAAACAACTATGAGATATCATCTCACCCCAGTCAGAATAGCAAAATGTAACAGAAGAGCAAGCAACAAATGCTGGCAAGGTTGTGGAGAGACTGGAACCCTTATTCACTGTTGGCGGGAGTGTAAAATGGTGCAACCACTGTGGAAAGTGGTGCGGCACTTTCTTAAAAAGTTGCAAATAGAGATACCATTTGACCCAGAAATTCCACTGCTGGGAATATACCCTAAAGAGTCTATAACCGACATACAAGCAGATATATGCACACCCATGTTTATTGTGGCTTTGTTCACAATAGCAAGGAGTTGGAAGCAACCTAAGTGCCCATCAAAAAAAACAAATGGATAGAGAAGCTGTGGTATATTCACACAATGGAATACTATGCTGCATTGAAAAACAAGGAACTCATGCAATATTATTCAAAATGGGTGACCCTGGAGGACATTATGCTGAGTGAAATATCTCAGTCACAAAAGGACAAATACTACAAGGTGCCACTGTTATAGAATGAGGCTGACATCAGAGTGGGGGTAAGACTGAGAGAAACTGGATAAATTAAGTTTACTGCACTGAGGCTGATGAGGGAGAGAATAGTTTAAAAGTAATATATTTTACGGCATTATGATTATCATAAGAGTCTAGAATGAGGGTTGCAGAGTGGAGTATACTCGGGGTGGGGGGGGAGTGTGTGTTCTGGGGGATTGTGTACCAATGAAGGAGTTTTTCTTTTGCTTTTCAAAAAGAACAAACTGGGAGTGGGGGTGGGGTGAGCAGGGAGAAAAGTACAACAATGAATGAATGGAAATCCAAAATCTTTGTAGATGTTCATTGAAATTAATAAAATTTTAAAAAAAAGAATCGGAAAGGACAAAGTTCAGATCTGTTTTCCACAGGGTCACAATGAATTGTAACTCAATACCCCCTAACAACCATAACAACAGCACATGTCTGGAAACTATTTTTAACATGGTTCCTTGATGGAGGGCTAGGAGGAGTATGACAAGGTTAAAAACTTGAAAACATTCAATTCAGAAGTGGAAATCAGAGTGTATAAAACACAAGAACCAAGAAACTATAATCTGTAGAACTTGACAAAAATTTAGCAAAAGTGAAACTTCAGTTAAGTTCAGAGAGAAGTGAGACTGTTATGACTAATAACAAAAGTTAGTGAAAAAGAAAATATAAATTAGAAAATGTTGTAATCCTCAAGACACAGTAAAGCAAATCTAGATTATGAAGCTATACTCTAAAATTCCAGAGTAACAAGGGGACGATTGGGACTATCTCAGAGAAAGAGTTACTAAAACACAGATCTATAAAATGTAGTATATGACATTTTAAATTAAACATAGGTAAGTAAAACCATATGAATGATGGACTGATAATTAAATAGAGCACTCTGGTGGCATAGCCTATAGGAAGTCATGCTGCTAAACTGTAGATGGCACCTCTCTGACTATTCAAATCCACTATCAACTTTGAAAGAGAAAGACAATCTCCTCCTGTGTTATCTACAGCCTTAGAAAACTTACTGGGGAGTCAGCTATTCACTGATTCCAACTCATGGCAGTAGTAATTTAGGGTATAGTTTTGGTTAAGCATTATATTTACTTCTTATAGTTGTTTTCCAATTAGCCAAATAGATAAGCTCTTATCTACACCAGAGTCATAGGCTGTCAAGAAAATGAAAGGGAAGGAAGCAACAGATGCAATGCTGTAATGATTGATTTGGAATGCATATAAGAAACAGTGAATAGTGATTTTAAAAGAGCTATTTAACAGATATATGGTTGATATTAATTTTATGTGTCTGATATTAATTTTATGTTTCTGATATTGTTTCTTGATATTTTTTTCTAGGTTTTCAACCTAACTTCTATGAACCTCAAGAATTGGCTGAGTTTGTATTCCAAAAATGAGATTATTGTCAAAGTTATTTTTCTTTTAATTTCTCCCTTTTAAAATACACCCACCATTACTTCCTCAGAATATGCTCAATAAATCATCTTGACATGCCTTTGTTCCTTGTATGCATTCTTATCACTTCCTTTCTTATTTGGTAATTCATTAGAATAATAACATTATTGCAATAGAAAACGCTCAACAATAGACAACACTTTACTATAAGATAGATGTGTGACACACACAATTCAATAAATCAATAAATGCTGAAGCAAATAAAGTTTGGGTTAAAACTCCTTTCAGTCAGTCTCCACAAATAATGAAAATGGAAGACAATGTCCACAGAATTAGCCTGAAAAGCTCTACAGTTTTGCCCAGTTTTAGCCATAGAGTCAGAACAGATTCATAGCTGACTCTCCAATAAGTTTTCAGAGGCAGTAAATCATATCAAAGGAGATTACTCATCTTTCTCCAATAGAGTAACAGCTGGGGGATTTGAATGAATCACTTGCCTTCAGGATTGAAGTGAAGTTTCTTACCACTAAGCCATGAAAAGAAGACGACGGGGGGGTGGGGGCGTGGGGGAAGATAAAGATACATATACATAAAGCTTGAGGTTGAGAAATTTCTAATATAAGAAATATATTTATTTCAGGAAAATCTTAGTAGCAATAAGAAAAATTCCAATAGTAAAGAAACAAAAGAAAATTATATCCTAGAGATGTGCACTAACTCTGAATCTACCCAGTAAGACAGTTTCTTTCCATAATCTAGGAGATAAAATTTTTAAAGACATGGGTGAGCACAAAAGATAGACCATTGGATTCCCTCTAGTAAGATTTGAAACTGAAACCCTACACACAATACCAGGACTCTTAGGAAGTGAAATCCTTCAAGTGGATTAAGACATTCTGATCATTGATAATGTGAAATAATAAAAAATGTATTGTGTTCCCTTGAATCTGGAAGATTAAAGAGAATTTAAGATCTATGAGACATAGGTGAAAAAAGCCAATACAAGGAAATAAAGGATGTAAATGGGCAACATGTAAAGATTCAAGTATGTGAATCAGTTACTTCATCCACCATCCACAGTTTTATTAAGGTAAATTTATTAAGCATAGAAACGAAGAATTTGCACATAACACATCCTTAACCAGAATCTAGGTAGTAAGGAAATATCTAACACACTTTGGATGTATTTCGGGAGGGGCCAATACCTAAAGAAGGACATCATGCTTGATAACATAAAGGATCAATGGAAAAAGAAGATTCTGTAAGAAAGACAGAGTATATTTAATGATCTTCAACCCAACAGAAATTATAAAGATGACACAGGACTAGATAGAATTTTGTTCTGTTGTACACATAATTTTTATGAGTCAGGTTTCAATGAGTTGGAGTTGATTGGACAACACCTAACAATAACAATAACAACTCAGTACTTATTATGTAATTTACTTATTCATCAAGTTTCATTAGCTCTTACACTGTGAGATTTATTTTGTCGCTGTTGTTACGTGCAGTCAAATTGACAACAGCTGTTAGGCCTTTATAATACTGTGGTTTGGAGATGTTCATCCCAAGAACAAAAAGCAAGAAAGTAATATAACTAGAACTTTAAAATTACTTTCCAAAGAGAATGGAGAATTATATCTAACTTAATTGTAGATAGTAACTTAAACATGAATATCCCATGGACTGTCAAAGAAACATATAGACATGTCTTTGAAAAAGTGCAGCCAGAGTGCTCCTTTCAGGCAAGGATGAGCATATTGCTAGAAGAGGCTATTCCTTGGAGAGGAACATCATGCTTGGAAAGGAAGAGGGTCACCTCACCAGATTGACTGACCCAGTGACTACAACAATGGGCTCAATCAAGTATGTCAGAAATTGTGAAGATGTCACAGGATAGGACAGGGTTCAAATCTGTTATTCATAAGGTCATTATGAGTAGTGCTCCAGTTGACAGCACCTAACAACAGCAACATTTTTTTCCATAAAATAATAAAAAGCTGAGTTTTAATTGTTATTCAAACTCAAATGCTGCTATGACATTCATGTTGAAATAGAATGTTTTATCAGATATGGTAATTATTTTTTTTTTGGTGGAGATGCTGGGGAACGAACCCGGGACCTCATGGTTATTTTTAATTCCTTTTTTTTAAGGCTGCACAGTGCAGTGGGCTTGGGGGGAGGGAT